GCTGGGGAAAGTCCCACAAATGTTCGTTTCATGGAACCCAACTCTTTTAGGAGATTTTGCTTCGGAAAGCTTCCCAAGCGAAGCTGCCACCACCCAATGCCCCAGAAGCGAAGCTGCAGTCATTCAGTGGGACGGGACGAGCGACGCACCAGGTCGAGATCACGGACGCATGGACCTGCTGTCCACGAGGCGACGCGACTTCAATCTGTGCTGATCGTTTCACTTCGTGCAACGCTTCTCCAAGCTTGGCCCCAAGGTTTTCTGGAGACATCCTAGTTGTTCTTAAGCCGGATTTTGCAATGCAGTACCACAACATCTGAAACAAAGACCTGAGCGCCCAAGCCTGTGGACATTGCTTATGGCGGGGTATAAATCAATCGAAAGAATCGTAGAGACAATTCAGGGGGGTCTTGATCAACTTTCAACACTTCCGTTTTTACTTTGCACGGTCACTGTCAGATGCAAACTCCCAGCAGTTTTAATGTGTCACATTTTATCATACACCTCATGTGCCAGGCTATGCCCTGAAGAAGCCAGAGGATTTGCCAACCACTTGTCAGCAAGGCAGCTGTGAGGCGGAACTGCCGGGGAAAGGGCTTCTCACGGAACCCGGAACTCGCGGTTTCTGTGGTGTTTGGTGTTTGGAAGGTTTCGAGAGGTTTGGGGTACCTCTCAGCGGTCTCATCACCACGATACCTCCCAAAAAATTGGGAAGGCATGGTCAGAGACAAGTTTTTTGTGGTTGGAGGTTGGGGAACTGCAGAATGTATATTATCTATCTATCTATATACTTGCCGCATGGCACCAAGCCAGCCCCCCCCCAAGAGCCACCCAGCCCAGCCAGAAAGCCTTAGAATAAGAACTGCTTAGCAGCTGAAAGAGGTTGCGTTCTTTTGGTGGATCTTGCTTTGGGTTGGAAGATTTTATTCTAGTGGAACCCTCAATCCAATAAAGTGCTTGAGTATTGGGGTGAGTGAGCCTGTGGGCAGGGGGCCGACGTCTAGCATAAGCAATAAATCCAGAATTTTTGCCTTGGCGTTGGTCGTTTTATTTTCATCAAGTAGCCTCCGCTTATTCGGATTGTGTATTTGCAAGGTTGGACCCTATATTTTTATATATGTTTATTCTAGAGTACCTTGGCTACCCTCCTGAATTGCTTTATTTTTGGTGGTGCTGACGCCCCCCGTAGCATGGATCCCCAATCAAAAAAATGTGTATGTATATTATATATAACTCTAACTATCATATCATATGACTATAAATATACAATATACTACTGTAGGAATGTCTAAGATTCTTGAATTCTAATATTTTTTCAGAGAGAGAGAGGGAGAGATGGATAGAGAGAGAGGTCCCCGGCCTCGGTCCCCCCATGAAAGGAACCCCGGGGAAACCTCCGCGACGTTTTGAGATCGCAGACTTGGCAGACTGGCCGGAGTAGACGGTACCAGGGTGCCAACGTGGGAGATGAGTCAGAAGGGCGATGGGGGGAGAGAGAGAGGTCTCAAAATGAGCATGAGCCTCCAGGTTCTTTGGTGATACGCGAGGGAAATCGCACTTGCTTGGGTCCTTTCAACCAAAAGACCCCTGCACAATGTCGACTCCCATAGGTGGAAAGCTGCTGTTCCATGGTCAGCTGGGTGAACCTGGATTGGGATGAGACGCAGGCAGGAGATGAGCGAGGAGGGTCATGTGACGGGCAACTCGGTACAACTCACTGCGTGGCGAGCAGCTGCATCCTTTTCACACCGAAGTGGCTCGATCACTCAAGTGACTCAAATACCTACCTATTTCATCCTACTTTACGTTTCAGGATGTTCATGCTAAGCTACAAATCCGGATGGTGGTGCCCAAGGCAGTCGGTGGTTCTTGCGCCTGTTCTAAACGACACATTTATTTGTTGCCCATCCCACAATGAGATGGCGCCGAGTTGTTTGAGAGGAACTGATTGTTTTTTCAACGCCCCATAAAGAATTTCCTTCAGCGTATGTAATCTGCAACCCCCCTGCGCGAAGGAGTTTAGTTTTTGTCCCAAATAGTAAACTGTAATGATATGTCATGATACTAACATACAAAAACGTCCCGACATGACAAGGTTCTGCATTGTTCAGACCACACAGCAGGTGCTTCACTTCACGCGCTTGTTGAACCAACGGCCCAAAGACGTCGCACGTGGCAAACGACAGCCGATCCAGCACCTAAAGCTTATCCACCTGGAAGGGGAACCATGGGTCCACGGACCTGACGCGAAATGGCAGAACTTGCGAACCTGTCACTGCTATACCATGCCCAAATATGCCCAATGCATATATAGTCATATATATATATATGTGTATTATTGTTAAATACACATATATATTATATATTGATAAGTACCACAAGCTGCAGAACATTAAGGAAAGCAAGCATACGCACAAAGAACCTATAAGAACAGTGGCGAAGCAATAATGGTTGACTGTCCACTCTTTATTCCTTTTTCACGTGGCATGTGGCTAGGAGGGTCACAGGATGTCTAAAAGATATCTCCTTGGTTATCTTGGGCGCACTCTCCTCAGAGGTTTCCAACAGTTTGCCTCGACTGCCATTGAGGCGTGCTCGCAGAGCTGTGGACTGCCACAGCAGATGCAGGAGCGTAGTGTCACTTGCCAGGCGCGTTCCGGGCGGCCCTGAGAGGATTGCTTCAAATCATGCATACATGGATGGCTGTTGGGCCGCCGCTTTCGGATGACCGACCATCATCCGAACCAGTGAGAACAGGTGGTGAACGCTTCGATGGTTATGTAAGTGGAGTGTATGTCAGACTGGCTGCAAAAAGATTTATAAGTTTCCTCTAGGGAATAATCTGTTAAAGCATTGCCTGCTGGTCTCTTGCTGTTCCTTTACTGTGTATGTCACAGCAATTGGAGAACAACACCTCCTGTGGGCGTTCGGTTCCTGAGCCACCACAGCTGCAAGAATGTGGAAGGGTGGGTACGAAGGAATATGAAGGAATATGTCTTCCCGGACTGGTCCGTAGGCAGAATCACATGGGTGAGGCGGGTGACGGGTGAGGATAGGATGCTCCATGTGCGAAGATAGGATGTTCCAATTGGATCACCGAACAGATGTGGAAGGTTTGAACAATGCCATAATGGTTTGCTATGGGTGAGGCACTGTTTTTTGGGGGTCCTTGGCTGAAAACAATGGGACTCAACATATGTCCGAAGGATCCTGAACAGAAAAGAAATTCCACTCAGGCATCACATATGATATACATGATATATATTATATATGATATATACATCATATTACTGCAGACCATTCGAGTTGTCCACGTGCTGATGGGCGCCAAGCCCCGCCCGCAGGCCATGTATAGCGGCGAAGTGGTGCTCCTTGGTTGCGGTCACGAGCGTTTTTTTCGATAGAACAACCTCTTGGTCGAGGCGATCAAGTGAAGAATCAACTGAATTAGTTGAAGTTGAATCAAAGGCGGATGGAAAAGACCTCTTCCAAAGTTTGCAGGGATGATGAAAGATGCATCATAACATGAGCACAGGATACAAGTGTCCAAAAAGTGCAGGCTTGCCCCAATGATCCTATACTAAACTACCCTACCCCCCAGTTGCACCACTGTAAATGGGCTTGGTTGGGGGACAAGCACCGGGTTCAAAGCCTGAGCGCCACAGAGGGAGCTCAGTTCCAAGCGATACGTTCCATTGGCAACAGTAAGAATTTGGCACGTTGCATTGCTTATTGTTTGTTATTGTTTGTTCAACTGCTGAAAGGACCATGAGCTGCACCCATTAGAGCAAACACAAATACAAGACATTGCCATTGGTTTGGCGTGGTCCATCTCCCAGTTCTTTTGCGGCATTGATGATCAGTCGCAACATGGTTGCAACATGGTTGGGTGACGTCTGACTGACCAAGTTGCTTCCACAAGGTCCAAGGAGCTTTGCCCCTCGGAAGCTCCAGCGGCCCAGCGTGTCCTTTGCCCCGCCACTGATCCGTGTGAGACCTGTGACGGCCACTCGCTGGCAGCGACTCCGTGAAAACCGATGCGCCGAGAAAAAACGTCGTAAAAACCGAGTAGGAGAGTTGTTGGGGTGGAAAGCAGAGCGTTTTGGGAGGGAGAAGAGGCATTCCTTTCTTAGGGGCATTTCCTTGGAATAGGCTGTAAAGATTGGGAAGCCCTGGGGCATTTCAGGAGGACATGCCTCTTTGGAAGGAAAGCTCAACACGGCCGTGATTGAACAAACATGCTGCGCTTTGTCTCCCCACAGCATGCAGCGGGCCTGTGTGGCACAGGTTTGTTTGTCAATTCTGATTTGTATATAACTCGTATGATTGCTAGCAGCTATATAGCACATAGGATTGGAGCAATTACATAGATGAACATACGGTAACTTGGGACTCATCCCCGCAACTCCTTACGATCTATCATCATATATACACCTCGAGCAGCTCGGAGGCTCCACTTCTATCGACTTGCAGGGACTGGGCTCGGATGCACTGGGCTGATGAAACCCCTCAGGCGAAAAGAAGCACCAGAGCAGAGCTCCCGACTTTCTGAGGCTTCGCCTGTGGTGATGATGCACTGCCCGTGCTTCCCCCTCCCTCATGTGAGGGCGGTACATGTGAAAGTGACATGGCTGCAAGGAACCTTTGGAAGACCCCCTTGAAGCCAACCAGAAGGCACGAGGATCATGAGGTTGAGGTTTGCCAAGTGTGACTCATTAGCCTGGAGAACAAGGAAGGAATCACGGACCTGTGTCTGCAAGAGCAAATGAAGTTACACAAATCTTTACAGCTACAGGCTACAGCCCACAGCAATCATTTGTTGTGCTTTTTGGCTCAGAAAGCAGCCCAAGACGGGCTCACACAAGCATATGGCAGATGAAGATAAAGGAAGACGAGCACTTTGGCGGATCAGCCTACCAGCCTCGTATAGAGCGATTTTTTGCATTTTTTCTCTTTGCTGAAATTCCTTCGGTGCGGTTTCACCGCAGAGTTTTGTCATCATGTTCCGATGCATGCGCGACTCCAAGCAGACCGAGAAGGCTGAGAAGCTGAATGAAGCCTGACCCAAACACGAAGAGGGTTCACGGCGGGCAACGAGGTGAAAAACGTTGAAACATGTTGTAACACCATGGAAGTGAAATTATGGGCTCCTGGGCTAAAGAATGGGGTTGTTCCACCAAGCCGTGTTTCTTTTTTTTAAACCTATTTGTTTGGCGTGAAATGTCCAGGCATGATGGCCAGATATGGCCAGTCATAATGATTTGCTCTGACTGCCATCCCGCGGAATCCTTGGAACTCACCTCAAGGACTATCCTCAAAAGATGACTCAGGAGGTCAGTGCTCGCATCACTCATCTAGCTGTTTCTTGGAATCATCGGATGAAACTAAGAACACCCACCTGGAATGATTCGCAACGGGTGTTCACCATGTGTGTCACGGAAGTCCATCGTCCGGATCCCCCACCCAGCTATCCTTTCAGCACCCAGCTATGGGTCCGACCGTGCCTGCAAGGAACGAACCGTATCCATATCCACCTCTTAAGACAGGAACCTGTGATCTTTGGATATCTTTGGACCTCCCAAATGCTAAGGCGTTATGGTCATGTTGGGTCATGTCTCTCGCATCATGACAATCTCTGATGGATGAACCACCCTCAAAACATTTTGGGGAAAGCGCGCCACAGCGCTTGAACCACCATTGTGGTACAGGTCCCTGTACTACACATTAACTATCATCATCATCATCATCATCATCATCACCATCACCACCATCATCATCATCATCATCATCATCATCATCATCATCATCATCATCCTCGTCATCATCATCATCATCATCACCATCATCATCATCCAGCAGCAGCAGCAGCAGCCGCCACCCTGTCCACGAAACATCAAGAAACCCTATGCCAGGCTGTTAAAAGGATCGGCCCCACTACATAGGTGGACCTTTCTTTTTTTTACCATGGCACACCTGAGAGAAGAAGAACTTGAACAAGTGTCCGCCTCACCAGGATCTGGAGGCATCACACCTCCTTCGTTCCCCGCCTTTATCCACCTCCTCGCCTTCCGAGGAGGCGATCAACGAGCTGCGGGACGGCCTCAAGGCGTTAACCACCGAGCTCCGCAATGGAGCGGGGAGCTCTGGGGCCAAGTTGAAGGGGAAGTCTTCCTCGATGAACGCCAGCACCTGGGACGAGGATGGGAGTGGAGGACGGCAGCGAGACCCACCGGACAGTGAGAAATATGCTATCTATATTTCACACACACAGATATATATATATATATACATAGAGAGAGACCAACGTTCAATCACAGATGTTCACAGTGCTTTTCATGTGATGTTTTCAGGTTCGGCTGCCTGGCAGGGTGTTGATGACATTTTCTGCAATGTTCATCCTTTTCGGTGCCACCGAAGTGGCCATTGGCTGCGCCAAGGCTTCGTGTCCACGTCGATTCCCATCGGGAAGGACCTCGATGCCTGGCGAGGTCTTTTGCGACCAGAATGGCCTGCTCAACCAACAGAAGAATGTGTTTTGCATGGGTATGCGAAGTCACAGGATATCCAATCCATATTATATATATATAACGGGTTTTGGATTGTGTCAAAGAAAGAGATCGCCTCACAACCATCCACAAGCCATGATTCTGGATGTTTCCGGAAAAAAACGTGACTGCCTTAAGGAAGCGGCAGGACTCACACCAGCTGCCTTCTCGGAAGCTACACCCGGGTCTCGCTTGCCTTGTTTGTCCTCGCCACCAGTGTTTCAAGTGCACTGCCATCGAGACTTGTCAATGACCTGCTGAACAAATACATGCCACCAATGCAACACAATGCTAAACTATCATATCCGAGTCATGACCCGTTTTTGTTCAGTTTTGAACTCTGAAGAGAGACTTCACAAAGTGTTTTGGCAAGGGTTATCACGCGGCCAAAGATGTTAGGATACTCATCTCGCTTTGTGACCATCAACGTGACTAACGCCCAAACAGCCCCACCGTCCGCCAGGTCCGTATTGGCGGATCCCGCCAACGAGATCGTGGCACACGTTTGGCCTCAAGTTTCACATTGGGCCACGGAGTTCCTCTTGAAGGAGGCCGCTGGGTCCATCGTGGTCCGCTGATTGGACCCGCGAGGACCGTTGGGGATGGCGAGGACCGCCCTAGGACTGAGAATGATTGTGCTTGCTCCTTTACTGAGGTGTAGATGAATGTTGTTTTTACATGTTTCTTAATGTTTTTCCCAAACAGTCAGTGTGGACACACTTATGGTGGTGGCCTTCGACCCGCTCTAATTTCGTGACAGGTGCAGTGAATCGTGACTTTTGGACATGTGAATCTTGAAGTGCAGATTTCGTGGCAGGCGCAGCACTTTGTCAACCTGGAAGTGCAGATTTCGGGGCAGCCACAGCGCTTTGTGAACCTCAAAGTGCAGATTTCGTGGCAGGCGCAGCATTTTGTGAACCTCGAAGTGCAGATATCGTGGCAGGCACAGCACCTTGTGAACCTCGAAGTGCAGATTTCGTGGCAGGCGTAGCACTTTGCCAACCTCGAAGTGCAGTTTTCGCGGCAGGCGCAGCATTTTGTGAACCTCCAAGTGCAGACAGGCGTAGCACTTTGCCAACCTTGAAGTGCAGCTTTCGTGGCAGGCGCAGCATTTTGTGAACCTCGGAGTGCAGATTGTGTGGCAAGCGCAGCACTTTTTGCTCTCAGATGGTCGCCACTCTCACTCTCACTCACTCTGACTCACTCTCACTCACACATGTCTCCACCTTCATCACCACCATCACCTCTTTGTACCCCAACGCGTCTAGATCTCTAGACCTTCAGCTGCTACACCTCTAGGCCTCACACACACTGGTTGGGGTCTCTTGCCAGTCTTGCCAGGATATTTTTTCCGGGTGTTTTTGCTGCCGATCTAGGAGGTTGAACACCTGAACAGGAAGACAAAAGCAACAACGACATAGAATGACCATGGCACACTGTAGATGAGTGGTAATTGACCCCTTTGACCATTTGAGATTGAAACCAACAACATTTCCAGTAGAAAAGGCAAAACAGCAGAACCAAGCCGCTCACTTGAACTCTTGAGCCTAAGAAGGATCTTCCAAGTTTCGCCATGCCTGTTCCACCTCGTCCATCCGAGTTTCGACACCCACGTCCTGCCCTGCGCTGCAGAGTCCCAGTCGCCAGGTAGGCCCGGCCATCCACAGCGCCTTACCGGAGAGTCTCAGTGGCGGCATCGATCCCGACCGATGCCACCTGGGCCATGAAGCCGTGAAGTTCTCCAGCATCAAGATCTTCGAGCCCTGGCAGAGAAACACGCGACAAAGGCAGCGAAAAAACGGGATTTCTGGTTGGGAGGGATGTGAAACAGCTAACCTGGAACAGGAAGGGTACCACATAGTTAACACACATACTCATTTTCGAGAAGGGCCTTCTTCAAGCTCTGTATGTATATATGTATAGTTACTTATATAGTTATAATTAGTTATATAAATAAATAAATATATAAATAAATAAATATAAAAAAAAATATATTAATGCCTCGAAAGGTGTGTGAACACTTTTTTGTGCGAAGGCCGTCTTTGGACATAATTTTTCGTATGGGCACTTTAATTAACGAATTAACGTATTTTGCTGCATGGAAAAAACATTACCGTACGAAAGCGTACCCATATGAAACCCAAACTTTATCAAGGTTTTATTGACAAAACCAAAACATATTGATAAAACCCAATCAAACCCAATATTCGGAGGAATTCCAGCCGTATTTGTCCATTTGACAAAAAAAGGCCGGATCCACGGATTTTTTTGTGCGAACGTGTTTGAACAAAAAACAAACACATTTGGATTCCCTGGCCACGAGGGTAGCACCCAGAGGCAGTTTAAAATGTTAAATCAAGCGTTCCTTGCGAGAGCCCCACCTTGGGTCATGGTATTGGTGTGTATTTCGATAGGGAGGCCCCCTGGCCCTGGCAGGGTAAGTCTATCATCCTGGGATGCCAGGAGGTGGAACTGGGGGGCCTCCCTACTCTATCCAAAGCATCTCCAATAAGCAATATTTGTCACAAAAAGTGCAACATCGCATGTGGGACGAGGGGTGGATAGAGCCGATCTTGGAGCAAAAGGTTGAGGTTAGCCACATCCGTCCTCAAGCGAAGCAAGTTGAAGGTTTGGACGGCGCACCCTTAGATCATCATCATTGAGGTTTTCAACAACTGCCTGAGAGGTGCATAGTGGCATAGTAGACACCGTGTGCTTCATGTTTGCGTTTTCATATTAATTTCATATGCTATTTAAGTTTGGAAGATGATATTGTCCTGCGTTGTTTTTGTGTTTCCACGGCTTGCCATTTTGCACTTGCGTTTGCCAGTGCCGAGCGGCCAAGCATGACCATCAAAGGGCGAGGGTTTCGAGCGCCTCGAGTGTAGACTTTGATCTAAAGGCCAAGTTTGGGAGAGGTTTTCAGATTTCTTCGGGAATGGATCAGGGTTCAGATATGTTCACACCGCATTTTTGACACCCCCATAAGTTAAGTTATGGAACATCCGGCCCAGTGGAAAACCCTCCGCCTCCCCCCAATGTGTTTTTCTATGTTTTTCTAATCCTCTTCATCCCTGTTGACATGGAACATCTCATCATGGAACTCCGGGAGCACTACCTGGGCTTTGTACCTAGCGAAGAGGCCTATTATAGGCCTATCCAAAACTCTCTGACTCTGATAGCAGAAACGACTTATTTGGATCGGTCTGTCCTATTACCATCTATTACCTGTAACAGTCGGTAAGCGAGAACACGGCTATTTTTGAACAAGGCCTGCAACCTAATCATCATCTGTTACTGATAATGGGATGGGCCCAAACTATTTGTATCTATGTTTTTATTTACTGGGAGGGTTTTGGAGGCCTGGTAGGTAGCAAGCCAGGGCAGCAAAAGATTAAGTTATGTATTGATTATCATGTATCACTGGGCTTGCTCCCCTGGTTGATTCAAGTTCTAATACGTATCCGTGCGGGCGATGATCCAATGTCGCACGTACCGAGCGTAGACTCGTAGACCGAGCGTGTCAACGCCGAGGACCGGAAGGAACGGACGCCCAATGGCTTCTGCGACAACATCGTGTTCCGTTGCCGCAGCCCGTCCGCTCGGGCACCGAAAGCGCGTGGGTCCACGCGTGGACGACGACGCAGGTCCGGGGTGATGCATGCAGTGAGTGCCGCGCCCCTTGCGGCTCGAGCGGAGGTTTTTCCCCCATCCGATGCCATGGCTGAGATTTTGGTGTGCCAGGCGAACTCCTGTCGTCAGGGTGGCTCTCAAGCAGTGCTGCTGGAGATTGAGGAACTGGCCAAGGCCCTCAACTGCAGCTTGTTGGTTTCAAGAGTGTGGAAGATGTATGACAGTTTTTTGTTGTTTAGTTTGCGTTTGTGCCCGGGATGCCCAATCCGCATGTTAAAGCCTTTTGATTCCTTTTGGTTGTTGACATGGATCGGCATGGTCAATTACTTGTTTCTAGAGGTCGATGATCCATTCTGCATGTCCAGCTGCATGAGTGCTTCTATAGAGATTTGGCTGTGGCTAAAATATTATAACCCAGGGGTCCGCAGGTTTCAGTCATGTTTGAAGGGAGGGTCAACAAGGTGTGTTTGAAATACTAAATATTAATCTCACATAACAAAAAGGGAGGCTTACTGTATATGGATTTACTGTATTTAACTGATCAACTGTCAACATATAGTAGTATATAAAGTATATACCTATGTATATATATATATATGTTATATAATAGACATTTGATGTCGTGTGTGTGCGCGGGCTTCCCAGGCACGGTAAAGCCTGTGGGTTGCCTTGGAGCTTGCGATCAAGCACCCGCCGCCCTGGTTTTGAAGGCCGGCAGGGAGCGGATTTGCACGCGCATTAAATCTGTGGCTTGGTTTGCCTTAATTGATCTTAATTGGTTTTACCTTTTACATCCTTTTACTGAACCCCCTTCCAGGGAATCTGAAGAGAAGAAACCGTGTTTTTCCAGGTTCCTCAAGCAAATCAAGGTGGAGAAAAGTGCGGAGGTGGTGCAACATGCCACGGGAAGGACTTTGGATTTGCGTGACCCTGACATGTTGCAGCGTTTCACCTCGGTTCGGCGGGTGCGTATTCGCCAGCAGGCATGTCAGGAGAGCAAGTGGAATGCAGCCTTGGCCGGCATCAGTGAAGAAATTGCACAATCGAGCGGGATGCGGCGGTGGCAGCTGCGGATTGAGTATGGACAGTTGCTGCGGAGGGCTGGTCTCTTCGAAGAGGCCATGACAGAAGTCAGCGAAGTGCACAAAGCCTTCCCCACAAGCATCGAAGTCTTGATGGAGTTTGCCCAGATCTTGAGCAAGTTGGGTCGAGTGGAGCACATCACTGATCTCGAGGCTCACGTGAGGAGCATTTGTTGTGACCCTGAGGATGTCCGCTTGGAGATGGAGCTCATCTTGCGATTGGGCCGCCTGAAAGCTGAGGCGGTGGAGGTGACAGAGACACCGATCGATGTGAGGGAGCCCCGGATTGAAGGCTATGCCATTTGGTCCTTGCGGGACGTGACGCTGGTGTCGAAGCATTCGGCCATCTATCATTTCGTGTCCAAAGACCGGCAGCGAGGCACGCCCAATCCACGAGGACGTGGAAGGACCGTATGGCCTAAAACCTGGCACGTCACCTTGCTGGCGAGGCTTGGTGCGAACTCCGAGGGCCCTTTGCCTTGGATCGAGCGCGACTACACGCCCATCAGTACAGCCAAGGAGTGGGAGCAGGGGCAATGTGACATATTGATCAAGATCTACAATGATGGTCAGGCAACTTCATGGCTGCAGCAACAGCCGCTGGGCATCAGAATTTGGTTCTCACAGCCCGTGAAGACCTTGTCAGTTCCGAGCCTTCTGCCGGATTTGGACCAAGCACCCTTCCGGCCAGCCAGCTATCTTCTTTTGCTGGCAGGCACTGGCATTGTGGCAGCTGCGCAGGTCTTGCACCACGCCGAGAGGGGCAAGTGCTTTGGCAGCTCCCCCACCATCAATTCTCCCATCCGGCTCGTGCATTCATGCCGTTCAGACGATGTGCTCATGTCGTTTGAGCTGCTTGACTGGTGCACCAAAGGCTTATTGAAGAGCTGGACCCTCCTGCTCACAGAAGCAGAGGCTGGAATGACTCCCTTTCCGGATGTGCAAGATGCAGACTTGACAAATTGTGCTTCGACTCCAAATGTGGCCATTTTGCGATCGAGGGTATCGTGCGAACTCATCCGCAAAGAGCTGAATTTTTGCCCAAGACCCTGCAGGGTCCTTGTCTCAGGCCCCGCTGGCTTCAATGCTGCGTGCCAGAGCATGCTGAGGGAGGTTGGTTTTGAGAGCGATGCTGTGACCATTTTGAGTGCCTAAAGAGCCTAAGGGGCATACGACTCCCTGCCCTGCTGCATGTTGACATCATCCATGTTGATGCGGGTCCAATGTCTCCAGATATTTTCTCTCAATGTCTCCAGATGTGATGTTGCGGAAGTAAAAGACTCTCTTCATGAGAAACTTGCACCTTTGGACCCCACGGCTTTTGAGGCCCATGTACAGTGAAGCATCCAATCCACGGAGGGGTGTCTCTTGGTGGTAATATTTAGTATCTTTATTCATTTCCGTACCATGCAGCTGCATACAAGGTGTACAAGAAAAGAGCGTTCTTTTGATCTCGCTGCCTTGGAGGCCAGGGTGGGTGAGCGGAGAGTAGAACACACACACACACATATATATATATATATATTTGTTGAATATTACAGTATTACAGTGTTTAATAGGGCGACCTACCCAGTCCTGGCCTGACCCGGCACAACCAATCACAACCACATCCATACGGATGACGCGCCAAAGGGAGGGCCTGACCAAGGCCAGGTGAAGCACACTGAGCAACATTATTGCCAATGTTTTTCCATCCGGGTGCTTTTTTTCCCTCCAGCAAACATGGAAGTGGTAGAGGAAAATTATCTTTCCAGTTCCACTTCCATGATTGTTTTAGGGGGCGCACATCAACCCGAAACCGGGCACATTCCCTGCCAAAGCCGCCCAAATGCAGGCATATGCAGGTCACATGTTTTTGCTGGCTAGAACATTGGGGACCAGATGCTGTTTGAGTGACCTCATAGGGTGTCAAAGCAGTGGGAGATCGGAGTGCAGTTTCGTTGGAGTTTGTGGAAGGCCCCCTGGAGTCACTTGGAGTTCCTTGAGGTTGTGCTCCTGAACAACAGACTGACAGACTCCTTGAATTGGTAGATGGACTCTTGGCAGCGGGCTGTTTGAACTCCCAGTTCTGTATGCTGAGGTATGGAATGGCATGGAGACCCGTCAATTTTCCTTCAGTTGGCAGGGCAAGAGGGTGGTGTGCACGGCATCATGCTTCGTGGACAGCTATTGGTGGAGTTGGTGCACATGCTGCCCTACCCGCCCATGTTCAAGGCCTGGGTTTCCCATGTTCCGCACCCGATCCTTCCCTCCAGAGAGGGTACTGTAGCTTTGCAACCCTGGCTATGCTTAGTACAGTTATGCTTAGTACAGTACACAATGTCTTATGCAAGGTAACTTACCTCATCCGGAGGATGCGTCCCAATATCTTGAAGGGACTGGGAGAACAAGGAAGACTCTTAAGACTCCCATGCGTGGAAAGCTTCCAATGAAGAAGCCAACTGAAATACTTCCAGGACTCAGCAGGATGTCTCAGGATTCATGTTATGCACACATGTCTTTTTGCACCGCTGGACTCCTTGGGCAAGCTGCAGACGGGGTAAAAGCAACACTTGTGGCATCCAGGGTGCCTAGAAGACCCGGAGCTTCTGGCTTAGCAGTGAGGGAGTACGAGGAACAACTGATCAACTTTGACGTGGAACGACTGCTAAGAATTCCGGAGGAACATGGTTGTGCATGTCGCTTGCAACTCCTTTTGATTGTTCAAATCCGGACTTGGACTTGTCACTTCACAACATTTCATCTTGATTGGTCATGATTGGCCTATTTCTTTCTGGAACAGGATTCAAAAGCGAGGCCCGGAGAGAATCCATGAAGAGTCGATTTCGCCCTTAGATGCCCACGGCTGCCAGGGTGTGCGACTGTTCTTTTTGGACCCGCCGGAGCTTCAGTTGGCTTTCTCCGGCATGGGAACTGAACTCCTGAACCTTAGATTTGGTTCATTGGTGTCAACAGGAATCCCCACCTTTATTACAGTAACTAAAAAAGCAACAAGCATGCTACATTTGTTTATATGCGCGTATGCCACAGAACAAAGCGTTTGTGAAGGACGGGAAGGGAGGGTACAAAGTTCAGTGACAACGGATTGCCTTCCCATATGTGTTCAGTAGGACTTCTGGTTTGGGTGTTTCATGATGTCTCCATTTGTTTCTGGTTTTCGGCGCTGGCGATCCGCACAACCTGGGGCGCCCCGCGAGATGTGGATGTTTGCAGTGGAGCAAAAATCATAAGAAATCTCATCCTGAGCAGATCGAAAGGGGTGCCACATTTGGAGGATAGGGCAGTTCATTTGCTGCTCACTTTGGGGTCAGTCCAGCCATGCCTAATTGCCTCACATGAAGAAGCAGACCCGAAGCGGCCGCCATTGTTCTCGGTGGGCCGCTCGCCGTGCGGAGGGTCCGTTGCGGGCGCGGACAACCGCGTCGGAGCGGCGCGGTCGGCGCCCCAGGAACGTGAGCCTGATCCAGCGGAAGATTCTGGACGTGGTTCAGGGCCAACTGGCCAGCCGCAGCTGAGACGGCAGATGGACAAGCCACGAAAGACTGAAGCTGCCCAAGAGATCAGAGACTGAGAGGTCTGCAAACTCCACTCGACATTCTTTCATTGCCCTGGCCCAGTTCGACTGAAAAACACAAAAAACACTGGCGGGAATGAACATGCACACCGAAGCACCGCACGAACACACGCATTGCATGAGGAAGTCCATGCTCGGTCCGTCCGAAGAACAGCCAACGGACTCGGAGGGCCAAGCTCCCCGGACCGAGGGTGTCGGAGGGCGGGGACCGAGGTGTCGTAGCTCCCAAGTTCATGGGCTTCAAGATGGTGAACACCGACATCTTTCAGATCACCTCGCCAGCGGCGGAGGGCATCTTGCGCGTCACCGTCCCGCGGCGAGCCGTCTTGCGCTGGGGACGGGCCGGACAGTTCACAGATGCCACAGGGAAGGCATGTCCTTTAAAAGCATCGGAAATAACTTCCTTTCTCACTGTTTGGAGGCCTCTGACTTGGAAAACAGGAGCCAGTGGATCGCATGTTGTAAGGTCCTGTAAGGTCCGCCTACAACTTGATGTGAATACAGAATACGCCATGAATTCAGTTTCCATGACCCTTCGATCATCCGCTGCTTAGTGGAATTCCACCCGTTCCGCCAACTCCAGGCCTAGACGCCTTCTGGAACAGCCTCAAATCCAAAGCAAAACCGCTCCACGTCCTCAAAACCGCTCAACGACCAGGTTTGGAGTGCCAACGACCTCCTGCCGATGGACACCAGTTTCTTCGGCAAGGGTACCTCGGATCCCTACGTGAAGGTCCGTTGCGGCGCCCACGTCTTGAAGCTTCTTGGCTCCCGAGGGCCGCGGAGAGCGCGCACGCGATGGGAGGGTTTGTGTCGGTTTGGTGCGTCGGTGGGTTTTGGATGGTTTGGGTGGCTCAAGAGGAGCCAGCTTCCTACTATAATTATTCTGTCCTTGCAATTGTCGGGCATGCCGAGCATCGTCCCCTGCCATTTTGATCCATTTTGTAGCCTGAAAAGCCTACCGGCATATCTTGGGGAGGTTTGATGTGCGCTCCGACAGTTTCTCAAGCTTGTCCGAGGGTTTGTCGCATGTCTAGGGATGGCCAATAATTAGAACATATTTGCACATTTCTGGAAGTCGGTATTCTTGATCTAGGAAGCTGAGCTTCATGTTGGATTAACGAGAGCATGGAGAACAGCTTATGAAAAGGGACGCATTGGATTTACTATTGGGATTTCTCAAGGTTTTCACCAGGACCATTTACCAAGCCAGATGGAGGTTTTGAATGGGTTTGATACATTCTCGGAGCCATTGCGCGGAAGTTTTGGACGCAGTTCACAGTGGGATTTTTCCTCGGGTCATATTTGGCAATGTTTGAGGTTCTGGGATGCTTTTGGAGGGGGTTTTGGAGAATTGCTTTTCGATGGACACCATACGACTGTGGGTCCTCCAGGCGCCTTCTGCGAATGCATGTTTTTCTCACCGAACCCTGGGAGGTCGGAGACCTTTTGGAAGACCCTCTGCCCGCAGTTCGGCTTCAAAGCCTCCCTGCCGATCTCCTCTCTGGCGGAGCCTTGAACAAACACGGAAGAATCCAACCGCGCCGGTCGATTGAGCAGAAGGCAGAAGAAGCTGATGGTGATTCTAAGATATTCCATGATTGGCCATCGATTTATCATGCTTTATCTTCTAAGTGAAGGAAGGGGGGCCAGGTAAACCCATGAGTGCCCATTCAAAAGGAGCTTGTACAACTGAGGACCAGAACATTTGGATTGAAGTTTATGACCAGGACTCTTGCTTGAAGCGTAACGTTTGTAACATTTTTTCGCGGACTTGGGGGATAGAATTATGGGGCACTGAGGTGACTGAGGACGTGAAAAACGTTCTGTTGCACATTTCATGTCCTTCGTGCGACGGTGAACCACCATCGTTCACGCTGGGCTCGTACCGTCGTTGCAGAGCTGCTCGGCTCGGCTCGATGCGGATCACGGAGAGTCGGACGTCACGCCCTCTCCTGGAAGCTATTTATCTATAGTCTATAGAACATATAGAACGATCCCTGGGTTTTGGGGTGAACATGGGTCAACATGCCTGAAGGTGAACTTGGGTTGGCAGGTTGGAGAAAGAGTCTGAGAAATGAGTCAGTCCATGGGTCCCTGTGCAGAGATCGTGTTGTTCAAAAATGAGGACTTTGAGAATCGTCCCATCTTCCCCAGACGGATATAGAGTCGTGGTGTCCTGAGTTCCTCGTGTGTCTTTCAAAAAGTATTATCTAATGTGCACAGATTTGGTGCTTGGATCATGGAAGCCATGGGCTGTTGATGCGGATCTTTGGATCATTCCAGGGATCATTTTTGGAGGAAAAGCTGTTGCAATCGGCATCTGTGGGACATACCTGGACTCAGGACGCCCTCCCAATTCACTTGGAATGATGGAATAGCACGGGTCCGTTGGGGAGAAGCTTCGCCGAACTCGCCGGTGCAGGACTTTCTCACCCGGGATGACTTCTTGGGCAAGGTAAGTCTGCCCGTGGACATGTTAGCCACCTGGGGAAAGCAAAAGAAGGCGCATCAAGAAGGGCTTTCATGGGGCCGCTGGGTGGGTGTCAGTGAGTGGGCTGTTTGACAGCAAGAAGGCTGATTATATAGTGTTGTTAGTGTTAGTGTTGTTAATGTGTTAGATGTTGTTCGTGTTTCTTGTTGGGGGGTGGGTGGGGCGAAGAGAAGGCTGATTTCAATACAGTCATACCTTTCTGATGACGGCACAGACGTTGCATGATGAATGACGTCTCATGACGTCTCACAGGAGCAACAGGCATTCTTTTATGCAACCGTGTTCAACCAGTCATGGACGTCAAGACGGTCGATGGTTGGCGTTGCGCTTCGCCGTGGTTTGCTGTCGTTCAGACAGAGCCAGATCACTCGCAGTGAAACGAAACCAACAAATTTATACAAATTTAATTAGACATAAACAGTCCATAAACAGGCAACTTTCTTGCACGGATAAATACTTCATTTTCTTAGAGTGGTAACCAGCACTTTAAGAAAATCACATTATACAGTTCACCTCCAGCAGTCATTTGACCGTCTTTGGACGTAGGGGCCGCAGAACGACCACAGAGCCAGGTGACGGTCCAACTGCGCGATGAGAAGGGCCAGAAGGGGAAGAATGGCAGCATTTGCCTGAGCGCTGAGTGGCAACCGATGTTGAACGAGAATGCGGCTGTGCACAATAGCGGCATCATCTCAGTTGGAGTTTCTTGGCGCATGTTTGTGGAAAATGAGGATGAACGCATGAAAGGGGGCGGGTTTGCACCCGAAGTTGGGGTCGGTGACCTTCCTAAACTCGGAAAAAGACAGCTGCATAATATTAGATGATTTTGGTGACGTAGAAAATCGCTTAAAGGTGGGAGCCACGTAGACGAGGAAGGATGGTGCTTGGGCTTGGGCTTGCTTGATTACAGTGTTCAACAATAACACCGCGGAGCCTGCCAAAAATTCCGACGTCCACTGGGGGCCTGAATGCATGACAAGCCTTTGTTTGAAAAGGACCTGCCTGCCTAGAGATGAAGTGACAAGAGAAATTCCAAAAGCTAATCAAGAGGAGCAAAAGGGAATCCAAAGCAAACCGAATTGATCTCGCCTCACATCATAAGCAAGGCTTCCATACGTACTTGAAAGATGTTGAACGGATGTTTCAACAAAAGAGTTCTGTTTGAGCCAGACATATTTGTATGCTTGTCATGCCCAACACATGTTTGAGGATTTGATGATTCAGTTGGTTGGACTTTCCGACCTCTCAATATATGATCTTATTAGATCTATATGTATTAGATCTGTATGGTGCCTTTGAGTGCTAACATGTGCTATTGCACTTCTCTCCACGGCAAGGTTCTTGAACCACATATATATATATATATAGTACAGTATATTGTATATCGATCTATGTAAGTCACAGAGCCTCGGTGTTTATATACATAGAATGGGAATTTCATATCATGGAATTTTGTTTCAAATCTCAAGTGGTCAAGTGGATCTGGTTTCATGAAGATGTTCCTTGAACATCATCTTCTGATCAGCCAGTAGTAGCCGTCTCTGTCTCCTCATCAACGAATCAGACTACCTCACGGTTGCTGCGTGTTTCGTACAGCAGGGAAGACAAGCACTACCAGTGCGCCGCTCCACCATCTCCAAAGCTGACGGTTTTGTAACGTTACAGCCTAAGGACATCACATCTTCCAAAGGTATCTGTTGATCTTAAAGGCTTTGGAGGCAATGCTTCACACACCCAGCAGGTTGCAGTGACCCAAATAGCATGCGCTTAACGTCTAAGTGTTGCCATTGGACATTGGAACCTCCAGTGTTGCTTTTGGTCCAGGATTCTCGAGTCACACGGTTTCTGCCGATTTTCGGGCCTCAGGTGTACTGCGCCATGAACGTGCCCAACCTGGGACCCTACGCCCGCTATTGGCTGCGCTGCAGCTGTACGGAGCTGATGCCCTGCAGCAGCAAAGAGCCACAGGACACGGACCAGGTTTATGCCGCCCACATTCACGATCGAAACGAGGCGCCGAGCCTGACCGTCGCCGATGCCTGACTGGTCGTGTTGACTGGAGATGTTTGATTGCAGCAAATGTTGTTTCGTCTTGATGGAAGAGTTGAGAGTCGAACGGCCAGCTCTTCTCGACCTCGTCTTCTCAGGTGGATGATGGAGATCTCCCGCTTTTGCACCGCTTGAGGCTAAGCGAAGATGAGTGGGTGATGCGATTGCTGTTGGCTTCCGGCATTGGGATGCATTGGGCCCTGTGTTGGGCGTGTAAGGGTGCGCAAGGGACTCTTCTTAGGGGCTAGGAAGTGTCGTAGGTCCTATTGCCATAGGTGAAGAGTGGAGATGAACAAGACGTAAGAAGGCAAGGTTGAAGGGTGGCGCTTTAGGGGAGGAGATGCTGTACGAATGAACCCATATGGGGCATCTAGCTCAAGACATGTTCAAGTCCCCCAAGCATGTTCTTCCGAGCTCGATGGTGCCTATGGCAATTAGAGATTAAACCATTCATTATATATCTCATTATTAAACCAACCCATAGACAATTGCAGATGGATGTGCATCTTGTAAGTCGTGACTCATAATTAACACGTGATACTATTTGGTGTTCTGCCATCGGTTCTGACAGATCCCACTCCAGCAAGAATAACAAGCCAGGCTTTGGGGTTTGACTCGCACGATGTGGCCTTCTTTCCTCCCCTCTCACACATGTCTTTCACGTTCTGAAGTGCAGATGCCAGCATTAGTGCCAGCGTTGCCAAGGAAAGAAAAAGTGAAGCTTTTGCAAAAGAGAGGCTTGAGTCACAAGGAAATGTGTGAGGTCTTGGATCTGGACCCTGAGGAGACGGACCGGGATCGGGATCGGGCCAGGAGTCAAGCCCCATGGCCAAGTATGGTTCTTTTTCTTGAACCCCCTGATAATTCTCCCCAAGTCTCTCACCATCCAA